TGAACTCGGAAAGACTACGCGGGGAGCCCGCTGCGGGAACGCCAGGAAGGTCTTGCCCCGGTGCACTTGCAGCCCGAGCTCGGCGTCGGCCATGTCCCAGATGGCGAGGGCCTTGATTGAGACTTTGAGCACGTCCAGCAGGCAATCCCAACGTCATTGGCAACTGGCTGACCCAGCTCCGAGCTGAATGCCTCTGGCTGACCGGGCTCGGGCGATCCCCAGAGACCAATGTGGCTGCAATTCGCGCGGACCTCCGACAGATTCTGCGTATAGTAAACTTGCCTTCTCGCTCGAGGCCCAGTGGAGTCATCGCGCCAGAGACACCGCCGGAGCGCCCCAACGTCCCTGCAAAAGCCCCCGCAGAGCCACGGCGCCGTCACCCCGGTGCCCGCGGGGGCCCTGCAGAACCGGGAGCATCGGCAGAACCATGGCACCCAAAGCGGTCTGCAGGACCAGCCCGGCATCGAAGCGCCCAATCGGATCGAGTCGTAACGAGCCTCGAATCGGGCTGCATCGGTTCAGAGTCTAAGTCGGATCGCGTCGTCTGCGGCCCGATGCGCAACTACGCTGTGCAAGAATCGGGCCGCATCGGATCGGTGGAAAATCGGAACCGAGACGGATCGAGCCCGTCAAACTCGACATCTAATATAATCGATGACATCGAGATGCGCCGTGGCCTGAGAGCGTCTGCAGAGGAGACCACGGGGGGGCCGTAGCAACAAAGTGCAACCATTGCAGAAACGCGGCGGCTACGTTCGGATGCGTGGTGAGGAGCTCTGCAGCTGCCTGCCGCGACGCAGCGCCAGCACGGCGGCGTAGCTTGCCGCCGGCAAATGGACACGTGGCCGACTCTGGAATCCCTGGGCCCAAAAACCTTGACGCCTTACTCTGAGCAGGGACCGACCGTCCCGGCATTCCTATAGTCCTGCCACGAAACGTTCTTAGAACCCAAAAATGTTCTAAGAACAAAAACAATGTTCTTATAACATAGACCCGATGTGTTAAAACAGGACCGTCCCAGCCAGAAATGTTCTGAGAAACTTTCGTGGGAACCACAAGAGGCTCTTAGAACATTGCTAGGTGGGGCTAGAGGCACGCCAAGACGCTTCGCCCCTGCTTGACGGTTGTCCTTTCTGCCGCGGGATGCGTTCTGGCAGCTGCGCCTCGCCGAGAGCGCGCTCCTAGAGGGCCCAGACCGTCCCGAGCGGCCGCCGGAGGCCAGCGATCTGGCCCGCAGACCAAACTCCCTCCCGCTGTGCAAGGAGATCACGGTGGGACGTTTTTGAGGAGGAAGGAGGAAGAGGGAGGAGGAGGAGGAGGAGGAGGCAGCGTAGGAGGAGGAGGAGGAGGAGGAGGAGGAGGAGGAGGAGGAGGGGAGGAGGAGGAGGAGGAGGACGCCAGGACGCTTCGCCACTGCTTGATTACTCCTGCTCTCGCCGCCTTCCTCCCAGCTGCCGCCGGCGCCCGCCGGCAGGCGGGCGCCGCGGCACCTCCGCGGGGTTCCTCCGCCGAGGACGGGGGCCCGCCGAGGGAGGCCGTTTTCGTGGGGCGCCCCGTGCAGCATCGACAGCGGCAACAGCATGGGCCAGCACCACCACCACCGGAAGTTGGAGGGAGGGAGGGGGAGGAGGAGGAGGAGGAGGAGGAGGAGGAGGAGGAGGAGGAGGAGGAGGAGGAGGACGAGGAGGAGGAGGAACAGGAGGAGGAGGAGGAGGAGGAGGACCCCCCCCTCCTACATATGGACGTATGGTGGTGGCGGTGGGAAACAAGCCCACCACAGCAGGGGATGGTGACTGCGACTCTTTTTGACGAAGCGACAAGCCGTCGCGTCCCTCATCCAAAGGGCCCGCCTCTGTCGGGTAAGCCTCCACGCAGTTACCAGACATGAAGACAGGGCAGCGCTTGAAACGACTTGCGTCCGATATCGTGGCAACGAGATGGGCACAACGCCCAAGAAGAAAGCCACCCAGACCTCCCAGGCAAGGGCAAGCAATCATCACCCTCTCCGTAAGGGACGCGTGCAATCTGCTGGGTACCAACCTTCAAACTTCCAATATTTGACATACATTTCCGGTGTCGTGCCGACCAATCCTCCAAATAACCACATTCCAATGCCGTCGTCAGCACCGTGTGTAAGAACATCTCCGCTACGCACGCACAAATAACCATCAACCGCGGAGAAGAAGCTGCGGGTGACAGCCCGCAGATTTTTGTATGTGGAAGCGTGATGCCCTTGCTTCAGTAGAGTAGTGTACGCTGGTGGATACCAGCCTTCTACCGATTTGCGAGAGTTTCCATTGGTGTTGACCAGTGTCCCGAAATACCATCCTTCCTCTTCCTGTAATCAAGTGACGACCTCTCCTTCGCGCAAGCGCATATATTCTTGACCATACTCTGAAGGGTCAAAATCACTTATTGCACGACGAAATGTATGTCCTCTGATTGCCTGCATGGGGAGCCAATCTGAGGTCGATCTTGGAATCTCGTCGCACTCCAGCGTGCCCGAACAGCGTGAGGTCGGACAACGGTCTTCCCTGGAAGACAGGCCGTTGGTAACGCTCTGGCACGCCGGTCAATGCTGAAATGTCCTCTTTCAGTGTCCAGATTGTGGTGGACGCCTGGCAGATGCCCCCTCTGCCATGAGCATGTCAACCAACTTCTGCCGCGCGGGATGTGATTCGCTCGCCGTCGAGATCCCAGATGCCATGACCCTGCACAAAGACGATTCAACAATACATGCTTGCCGAAACACACCTACACGAGCAGCATCTCTGACAACCAGCGTGTCCAGGTTGAGGAGCCCGTCGAGTATGCTCCTAGGGTCGCGCAACCATTTGTGGGAGAGCCATGCTGACAGCCAGTGTTCCATGAGGCCTGCGCCCAACCAGTGAGCCATGGCATGCATATGCACAACAAGCTCCACCGACAACGATTTCTCTAATTCGAAGGTTCCGAAGGGTACCAAAACGCCACGGGCTCGCCACATGCTCTTCGTGCTAACCCCCAATTGCTCTGTCAGAATTCGCATGGCCTTAGCACCTATGGCGCCCGCCCACAGGTGGGACGACACTTCTGACAGAATTGTGACAACTCGTTCGCCCAAGCTGTGCAGGCCGACGTCATCCACCATCATCTCGTGGAGGGCCACCAAGAGAGGTGAACATGCACACACATTGCGCTCTAAAGCTGTAGCATCGACAGGGACGTAGCAGGCCGTGCCGCTCTCTGGGTATGGTAACTTCACAAACAAGCTTGCCATTGCAATCCCGATGTTGGAGTCTAAGGGATGCCTCGAGTGCGCAGGAACGCTGGCTCGAAGGCGGGTGATTCTTCGGAGAGTGCCCGCTTGAGCTCGAAAGCATTGAGCCAACCTGCACCGGCCACGTCGGAATACACCTCGAAGATGAAACCGTGGGCTGACAGGACGGCCCAAGACTGCTCCCAGAGGACCGCCGAGATGGCCACAAGACGCAAACATCGTCCCTTCCCTCAGGACAAGAACAGCATATATGTCCACAGACTCGCCCTGCTCGCTTTGACAACGTCCACTATGGCCCAATGGACCCCCAAGATCTTCCCCAGGCGGCGCATGAGGCTCCCAAGAAGGTCCGACGGCACAGCACAGCCCCAAGAGGGCACAAGGGGACCCCAAGATGGCCCCAGCGGCCCTTAAGACGGCCCACGAGGGTCCCAAGAAAGGCACAACAGGGACAATACTAACTGACCTCTCGAGCCTTGCCCCCACCAGGGCCCAGAAGCCCACCTGAGTTCCCCGAGGCGCACCCCAGACGCCCGCAAGGAGCCCCCCAGAGGTGACCAAGAGGCTCCAAAAAGGCCCGCGAAAGGCTCCGAACAGCCAATCAGATGCCCCCAGAAGGCCCCTGAGAGCTCAACCCTCGCGCGGGGAAACAAAAACACCCTGCCACTCCAGCTTCATGGTCCATGGATCATGTGCGGAAGCCCCGCGCTCACGTTGCACGTCTCTTTAGCAAGGATGGCCTCCATTCGCCAACGCCTGGGAGAAGCCAGCGCGACTCTTGGGAGGCAGTCCCATCCCGAGCGTGGATAGCACCTTCTTGCACGGCTATCCTTGGGCCGTCAGAGGGGTTAGGCGGGGCTGCCGGCATACTGCATGCTGCGCGCATGCCCACCATTCCGAGCAGCAGAAAATGCAAAGCGCACTCTCCCAGGGACGGCGGAGGGAGCTGCACACTGCCTGGCGGGCGTGGCTCACCATCCCTGTCAGAAATCGGATGCGGAGTGATCTCGTGCGTACACCCACACACACAATACCCAATGCTCGCAAACCCACCGTCACACTCAAATGGTTTTGACAGGGATGGTGGGGGGACCGACATATTGCCCAGTGTGGCTTCCCTGGCTAGCGTCTGCATTGGTTCCCGATGGTTGTCCATGGCGGCCCCTGTCCATGCTGAAACTCGGGTGCCGAGTGAGCGAGACGGCTTGCGGCTTGTGGGTAGCTTGGCCCATCCCCCTACCCCCTACCTTGGACCTGGAAGGGAGGGGGCGACCGATTGGGGCGTCCAAAAACATCGGCTAGAAGATTGAAATCCCGAGCACTGTAGTTCATATTAGTCGCGGCCCAGAAACCCTATACATGTACATTGACCACACCAACAGAGCACCTTAGCAAGCAGACGATATCCTTCAACAACTCCTCCCCCCCCTCTCCTCCAGCCCCTTCCCCCTCCCGGATCTCCTGATGCCCTCCACTTCTCACCTCGTCCTCTTCTCCAGATCCACCCTGCATTTCCTCTGACACGGGAGCGGCGGCAACCCTCTCCCTGGCTGTGCGCGCTGAGCATCATTCAACCGATCTCCATCCCCACTGTCATTGCCCTGGCCCGACTTACCCCACACAGGCTGCTCCCTTCGGGCTTCAAGGGGCCTGTCCCCAACTGGTGGGGCTGAAGAATCATGGCCCCGTCGGGATGGGGATAGGCGATAAGTTTAGCGATGCTCGCGTGCCCCTTCCCCGCCGGGAGGGAGGTCTGGCTGTGGCTCTGCAGCGGCAGCCTCAGCGGCGAGGTGGCGCTAGGCGGGTACCTCCCACCCCTCGGCTTGACAGCGCGGATCCGGCGGGCAACTCGCAAACGCGAAATGACTACGACAAGGGCTTCTTGCTCCCCACCCGACAGGATGCGGCTGTTAGACCTCAAAGGAAAGAGCTCCCGACCCGCCTTGAATAGTGCGGCCGCAAGGCCTAATGTGCAGGTGCTCCCTGGGTATCCCGCCTCGCGTCTCCGAGATTGTATTCCCCTCGACCCCGTAACGTCCGTTACAGCGGATCTGGGCCAAGTGCCGGGGAAATGGTAACGTGCCGGGCGCGTGCATGGTAGCAGCAGTAGCGAGGGGCACTGCAACACTAGCATAGCAGTAAAACTGGTAGCAGTCACGATGACGACGACGAGGACAACGACGCCTGGCGGTGGCGGCGGCGGCGGCGGCGAGGACGACGACTAGCGGCAACGACGGAAACGACGACAGGCGATGGCGGCGACGACGACGACCTGCGGCGGCGGTGACGAAAAATAGCAGTAGTAGTGGTATACGTGTTGGTGTTAGTGTTAGTACTAGCCATAGGAGTAGTAGTAGTAGTAGTAGTAGTAGTAGTAGTAGTAGTAGTAGTAGTAGTAGTAGTAGTAGCAGTCATAGTAGTAGTAGTAGTAGTAGTAGTAGTAGTAGTAGTAGTAGTAGTAGTAGTAGTAGTAGTAGTAGTAGTAGTAGTAGTAGTAGTAGTAGTAGTAGTAGTAGTAGTAGTAGTAGTAGTAGTAGTAGTAGTAGTAGTAGTAGTAGTAGTAGAAGTAGTAGTAGTAGTAGTAGTAGTAGTAGTAGTAGTAATAGTAGTAGTAGTAGTAATAGTAGTAGTAGTTGTAGTAGTAGTAGTAGTCGTAGTCGTAGTCGTAGTCGTCCTCGACGCCATCGTCGTCGTCGTCGTAGCAAAAGTAGGAGAAGTAGTAGTAGTAGTAGTAGTAGTAGTCGTAGTAGTAGTAGTATTAGTAGTAGTAGTCGTCGACGCCGCCGTCGTCGTCGTCGTCGTCGTAATAGTAGTAACAGTAGTAGTAGTAGTAGTAGTAGTAGTAGTAGTAGGAGTAGTAGTAGTAGTAGTAGTAGTAGTAGTAGTAGTAGTCAGTCGCCGCAATCGTAGTACGTCGTAGTAGTAGTAGTAGTAGTAGTAGTAGTAGTAGTAATAGTGATAGTAGTAGTCGTAGTAGTAGTAGTAGTAGTAGTAGTAGTAGTAGTAGTACTAGTAGTAGTAGTAGTACTAGTACTAGTACTAGCAGTAGTAGTAGTAGTAGTAGTAGTAGTAGTAGTAGCCGTGTAGCCGTAGTAGTAGTAGTAGTAGTAGTAGTAGTAGTAGTAGTTGTAGTAGTAGCAGCAGTAGTAGTAGTAGTAGGAGTAATATTCTAGTAGACGTAGTGGCTGCAGAAGTATTCGCAGGATTGGTAAAAGTAATAAGCGTAGTAGCGGTAGTCGTCGTAGTATTAGTAATCGGAAAATCACATTAATACTAATAGTCGTGATCGCAGTAGGCGTGGTAGTAGTAGCAGTAGTAGTCGTAGTAGGAATAGTAGTAGCAGTAGTACTAGTAGCCGCAATCATAACATTTGTACTAAGTGTAATCGAAGTGGTATTGATAACACTAGTGGTAGTAGCCGGAAGAGTCCTAGTAGTGGTAGCCGAAGAAGTAGTAGAGGTAGTTGTAGTAGTACCCGTAGAAGTAGCATTAGTAGCAGTAGCACTCGATTTAATAGTAGTAGTAGTAATGATAGTTGTCGTAGTGGGAGTATTAGTAGTAGTAGTAGTAGTAGTAGTAGTCGTCGTAATAGTAGCAGTATTGGCCGCAGAAATAGGAGTAGAAATATAATCAGCAGTTGCATTCACATTCTTCGTGGTAGTAGCAATCGTCGTAGTAGTAGCAATGTACTAGTATGAATGATCGTAGCTGTCGTCGTCGTAGTAGTCGTGGTAGTAGTGGTAGTGGACGTAGCAGTAGTAGTAGTAGTAGTAGAAATAAGAGTAATACACCTAGTCGAAATGATAGTGGTAGAGCTACACATAATAATGGAATAGCTAGTTATAAATGAATTCGAGTAGTAGTAGTAGTAGTAGTAGTAGTAGTAAAAGTAATAGTAGTAGGAGTAGTAGTAGTAGTAGTAGTAATAATAGTAATACTAGTCGTAGTAGTAGTATTAGTAGTAGTAGTAATACGAATCGTCTCTGTAGTTGTAGAAGTAATGGTAATATTGACAGTGATAGCAGTCGTAGTCGCAGTAGTAATCATGGTAGTATTAGTAGTAGCAGTAGTCGTAGTCGTGATAGCAGAAGTAGTAGTAGTAGTAGTAGTAGTAGCAAGAATAGTAGTACTCGTAGCCGTCGTGGTAATACTAGAGCGAAGGAAGGGTAGTAGTAGTAGTAGTAGTAGTAGCAGTAGTACTAATAGTAGTGGTAGTAATAGAAATTGTTGAAATTGATAAAG